ATGGCGCGTACTGCGCCTTCGACATCATCTTCACGATCAATCCGTCGGGGCTTTGCCGGGGCCGCATCCCCCAAGCCGGTGGCGTCGTCGCCGTCCCAATTGTCGTCAATGGCGTCTTCATCGTCGCAGTACGGTGGGGAGGGTGAACACCGAGCCGCAGGAGGGGGAGGAGGGATGCGGGATGTGGGAGGAGGAGGAGGAAAGGGAGGAGGAGGAGGAGGAGGAGGAGGAGGAGGAGGAGGAGGAGGAGGAGGAGGAGCCAGAGTCAGCCCAGGATGCAGCAACGACGCTGCACCACGCCCGCCCGCGGCGCCACGCCGTATCCTCGGAAGTCCCTCGAGAGGTGCTCCCTTCCCCCCCCCTTGTGGCGAGCGCCTCCCCCCTCGAGCGTGTGCGGTGCTCAGGGGGGAGCCGGCGTGAGCATGTCGGGGGAGCGTAAGACCGGGTTTGCCAGGACTCGGGTTCGCCATCGTTTTTTGACGACCGCGCCTCGGATTTTGACGAGTAGGAGTTTCGTGGGATGTCTGCAGCGGGAGGCCTCGTCAAAATGCAGGCTGGGCCTCGTCTCTTTTTTGACGACCTCGTCGGGGATTCCCGAGTCCCCTGTACCCGGGTCTTACGCCCCCCCTGATTGTGGCGAGCGCCTCCCCCCTCGAGCGTGTGCGGTGCTCGGGGGGAGAGCCGGCGTGAGCATGGGCGGCGCCACGGGGCGAGCCGGGCGTGGACGGCGGGCCGCCCGACGTCCGTGCGGCCGCCGCGGGTGACCTGTGCGCGGTGACGCTGCGCGTGTGTGTGTGTGTGTTGTGTGTGTGTGTGTTGTGGGGGGGGGGGAGGGCGGGGGGGGGGGAGGGGCGGGGGGGAGGGGGGGGGGGGAGGGGGAGGGGGGGAGGGTGGGGGGGGGGGGGAGAGGGCGGGCGGGCGGGCGGGCGGGCGGGCGTGCGTGCGTCTGGTGCGTGCGTGTGTGCGTGCGTTGGTGCGCGCGTGCGTATGAGTGTTTGTGTGAGAGAGAGAGAGAGAGAGAGAGAGAGAGTGTGTGAGAGTGTGTGTGTGTGTGTGGAAGTACCTGGCGCCCCACTGGCACGCCTGGTGGTGTGCCCAGGAGGAGGTGTCTATAATGAAGAGGGTCGGAGGGAGGATGAGGAGGAGGAGGAGGAGGAGGAGGAGGAGGACGATACTGATCACGTTCCCCTCCCCCTCGAATTCCCTTGTCGTCCGCCTCCTCCCCCCCTTTTCCTTCTCTCCGTTCTCACTGCCCCCTCCCCCCCCCAACCTCCGCATCGAGTCCCTCCTTCGTCCCTGCCTCCTCCCCTCTCGCTCCTCCTGCTCCCTTGTTCCGCCCTCCCCCCCCGATGCTTTGCCGCCTCCATTCGCCTCGTCTTTCCCTGTCTTCCTCCAGCTCCTCGCCCCGACGTCGCCTTGTCGTCATGGCCTGCCTCCCTGTCTGCCTCGTTGCCATCCTCGTCCTCGTCCTCGTCGTCTTCGTGCTCCCCTCCGTTCCTGCCCCCTGGCACGTTGAATGCGCGCGCGGTGTCCCTTCTCACCATCCCCGCCTTGCCTCGTCCCACTTTCGCTCCGACGCCTTCCCTCCCTCTCGTCGCGACCAGCCTGCTGGGCCCCCGTCTCATCGTCCGCCCCCTTCTCCTCCTGATGCTGGTTCTCGTACTCGTCCTCGCTCCCTCCCCCTTCTCATCTCCTCCAGTCCGACTTCCTCCGAATCTCCTCTTCCTCCTCCTCCTCCTCCTCCTCCTCTTCCTCCTCCTCCTCGTCCTCTTCTTCTTCATGCGTGACATCCTCCTCGCCCCCTTCACCCTCATCCCCTCGACCCCTCGTCATCGCCACTCTCTCGCAAGAAGGGCTCAGGCGACCCTGCGCGCCTCTGTGGGGGGCACTGGCGGCTTGGCTGGCCCAGGCTGCGCTCAGCATCACGAGGATGGCGCTCTCGCGTTCGTGCGAACACGAGGCCTCTGAGCGGTGGGGGAGCGGGGGGTCGAGGAAGTGGAGGCAGCAGGCGATGAGGAGTGAGGAGGAGGAGGAGGAGGAGGAGGAGGAGGAGGAGGAGGAGCAGGAGCAGGAGCAGGAGCAGGAGCAGGAGCAGGAGCAGGAGCAGGAGCAGGAGCAGGAGCAGGAGCAGGAGCAGGAGCAGGAGCAGGAGGAGGAGCAGGAGCAGGAGCAGGAGGAGGAGCAGGAGGAAGAGCAGGAGCAGTAGCAGGAGCAGGAGGAGGAACGAGGCGAGTAAGGAGGGGGAGGAGGCGCTGGATGGGAGGGAGCAGGAGGAGGAGGACGAGGAAGAGGAGGCGGAGGAGGAGGAGGAGGAGGAGGAAGCAGAAGATGAAGAGGACAAGGCGGAGGAGGAAAAGGTGAAGAGGAATTGGAGGAGCGAGAAGAGGGATTTGCATATAAGGGAAATGACGCTGAGGCATGGCAAAAGAAGTGGAGGACTAGAGCAGGAAGAGAAGGAGGAGGAGGAGGAGGAGGAGGAGGAGGAGGAGCATGATGAGCAGCTCTAGCATTGGAAGGAGCAAGAGCAATCGCAGGAGCAGGAGCAGGAAAGCAAGCATGAGGAGGAGAAGGATGCGGGAGGGTGAGGAGGATAAAAAGGCGACGGAGGACGACTCACTGGAAACTGAGGGGAATGAATTGGATTCGACAGGGAGGGGAGGAAGAACTGAAGGGAAATAGAGAGAGAGAGAGGCTTCAGATGAGAAGTATGAGGAGGAGGATTGGACCTGAGACCGGAGTTGATTCGAATGTATAGCAGACCAGCGAGCGGCAAACGAGGCGCGCAACACAATAAAGGTTACCTGATTCTGAATCAGTCCGTCGGCGAGCTGCAGAAGAGGCGCCCAACCTCATTTATGTTATCCGGCTGCCTGCGGCAAGTTCTGCCACCGTGCCAGCCCAGCATTATGTGTGGCGACTGCTCGAGGGGGCCCGAGAGGCCGTCACGTGTGACACTTGTGGTCTCCAGGCAGGGCAGCGCTGTGATGAGGACGATGATGATGAGGGTGATGATGATAATGATGATGATGATGATGCTGCTGCTGCTGATGATGATGATGGTGATGATGTTGGTGATGGTGATCGTGATGGTGATGCTGGTGGTGGTGGTGATTGTGATGGTGGTAGTGATGGTGATGATGATGACGCTGAAGATGATGATTCAGATGACTATGCAGGCACTGATGAAGATGAGTCTACAGCTGAATCTGATGATGGTTTTGATGATGGCGATGCTGGTGATGCCGATGAGGTTGATGATGAATAATAACGTGAAAATTAAACGGAAGATGATCAGGAGGATGTTGGTGAGGAGGATGATGAGGAGGGCGATGAGGATGATGAGGAGGATGAGGATGGGGATGAGGAACATGATGTTGATGCTGACGATGGTGATGATGCTGATGATGATGGTGATGATGACGATGATGAAGTCGATGATGGTACTGTTGATGATGCTGATGCTGCTGATGATGCTGGTGATGATGATGCTGATGACGACGAGGATGATGATGATGATGCTGATGATGATGATGATGATGATGGTGATGGTGATGGTGATCGTGATGGTGATGCTGGTGGTGGTGGCGATTGTGATGGTGGTAGTGATGGTGATGATGATGATGACACTGAAGATGATGATTCAGATGACTATGCAGGCACTGATGAAGATGAGTCCACAGATGAATATGATGATGGTTTTGATGATGGCGATGCTGGTGATGCCGATGAGGATGATGATGATGAATAATAACGTGAAAATTAAACGGAAGATGATCAGGAGGATGTTGGTGAGGAGGATGATGAGGAGGATGATGAGGATGATGAGGAGGATGAGGATGGGGATCAGGAACATGATGTTGATGCTGACGATGGTGACGATGCTGATGATGATGGTGATGATGACGATGATGAAGTCGATGATGGTGCTGTTGATGATGCTGATGCTGCTGATGATGCTGGTGATGATGATGCTGATGACGATGGCGACGACCATGATGATGATGATGCTGCTGATGATGATGATGATGATGATGATGGTGATGGGGGTCATGGTGATTATCATCACAATGGCCATGATCTTGATGGTGATGATGATGCTGGTGGTGGTGATGATGATGATGATGATGATGATGATGATGATTATGATGGGGGTAATGTTGGTGATGATGATGCTGGTGCCGATGATGATGAGGCTTTGTTTACCAGAGTCGGGGCTCCATGTGAGGGGAGAGTCGAGATCACAGCCCCAGAGCCCTCTGCCCGATCGGGAGGCGGTACTTATGCGCTGCTGTGCACTCCGCGCACGTGCAGGCACGGAAAGGGCGCTCGGCACCGCACTGCGCGCGTTCGACGGGGCGCGCCGACGCCGAACTGCGATCCAGACCCGCTTACCTCGGGCACATGGCCTGATCAAGGCAACACACCAGTGAGGCGAAGCCTCTGCAATGAGCAAGAGCCCCACGTAGACAATCTCGGGAGTCGGGAAAACTGTCCCGTTGGAGCACGCGTGCCCGAGATACACGTCAATCATCTGAGGAATCGTGCAGGTTGTCGCGTAGGAGCACACGTGCCGAGAGAAACTCCAGTAGACAATTCACAGGAATCATGTAGAGTGTCGCTTAGGAGCACTCGTAGGAGAAAGACACCTAGACTATGTCAGAGAATCCTGTAAGTTGTCGCGCAGTTGCACACGTATCGAAGAACTCCAGTCGATTAATTCAGGAATGTTATCGTTGTTTATTCATTGTTTCGCCGATCGGCGCGGGCCCTCGCACCCTTCCTTTCCCCCCTCCATGGAGAAGATCTTGGCTGTTTGGGGCGTCTGTTTCGAGCATGGGGAGTCCCCCTCAGAGGACGCACGGTTCCAAACAGCCGCATTAAGCAGAGGTCCAGAGCCAGACCCCCCCGCCTCCCCCCCCCTCCGCCCAATGTCGAAACGCCAAGTAAGAAAACGCTCACAATCGTGTAGAGAAGACTGTCGCGTAGGAGCAAAAGTTCCAAAGGGACACCAAGTAGACTATTGCAGGCTTCATGTAGTCTGCCGCTCAGCTGCACATGACTGGGAGAACGGAACTGAGTAGACAATCTCAGGGATCGTGACGATCAAAGGCCCGAGTTGGATCAACCTTCTCGTGCCACTGAAGATCTCCTTCGAGCCACTCGGCCCACTCCTGCGGCTCCTCCTCCATGTACCCTGGCGGCGCGTTGCCATGAAGGTACCTCGCTCCCATCCGGCGCAGTGGCTGAGTTCTCTGAGTGGCCATGATCAGCTTCACGTCGTCCTCTTTGGCCGGCTCCGCGAGCTTGCACACTCTGACTATAGTTGCTCCGCGTCCTCGGCCTTCTCGCATGCGTTGAAAGTGTACTTGAGCTTCCTGATCTTATCCTGATTCTGACCTCCCACCGCTGGTGTGTCGGCGGCCTTTCTTCCTCGTGCAGTCGGGCAATTCGTGTGCTGAGCGCCCATGGCGACTCGAGCACGCGAGCGGATTGCCTCTGCCGCGCTGCGGCGGACAGGTGTGTCTGCGGCCACGTCCGCCAACGCTCCGAGCAGCAGCGTGGGTGGAGGCCCAAGATGCTGCAGGTCTGGGTGCTTCTCCTTCTGATGATGACGGCGATGGTGATGGTGATGGTGATGGTGGTGGTGGTGGTGGTGGTGGTGGTGATGGCGATGGTGACGGTGACGGTGACGGTGATGGTGAGGAGGAGGAGGAGGAGGAGGAGGAGGAGGAGGAGGAGGAGGAGGAGGAGGAGGAGGAGGAGGAGGAGGAGGGGAGAACTCTTGGGCCGTCCCGGGGCCCTCTTGCGCCTGCTTGGGGCTCTTTTGGGCCCTCTTGGGGCCTTCTTGGCCGCATGGTGGGTGTCTGGGGGCAGTCGTAGGGCCGTCTTGGCACCGTCTTGGGCCGTCGAGGGGCCTTCGAAGGCAGTTTTCGGTCCACGGGAGGCCCTCTTGGGCCGTTCTGGGGCCATCTTGGATGCCTCTTGAGCCATCGTGAAGTCCTCTCTGGGCCGTCTTGTCCTGACAACAGCTTGGATTCTTCGGACCTTGTTCGAGGTCCTCTCGTGGCGCTTTGGGCCCTCTTGGAGGCATCTTGGGCTATCGTGGATTCATACTCGGCCTCCTTGGGGCCATCTGGGGCAACCTCCGCGGCATCCTGCGCCCCCCTTGGTGTCCTCGGTTGCCTGCACGGCCCGCCTTGGAAGCTCTGGGCGCATACCCATCGTGTTCAACGGGGGATCGTGGCCTGGGAGGCTCTGGAGCGCTCGGGTGCAGCGCCTGGTCAGAGCGGGAAGGGCACGGTCCTTGCGTGGGTGCGCATGGGGTGCAGGGGGTCCAGGATGTGAGCAGCCATGCGGGAAGTGCCACTCCTCGTGCGGGCGCGCGTGGGATGAGGGTTCAGGCAGTCGCTGCCGTGCGGGAGGTGTACTATCCTCGAGCAGGCACGCGTGGAAGGGGGGGTCAGGCGCTGGCTGCCCTGCGGTCAGTGAACCATCCGCGAGCGGGCCCGGGGGAAGTGACCTCGGAGCGGAGGGGCGGTGCACGCAAGTGTCCGCGGAGGGGAGGATGGGAGGGGTTTAAGTAGAATTCAGAACACCGCACCAGGCAGCCCTTGGCATTCTTCCACGCTCGACGTGCCAGGTGGTACGGTGGCGGAGAACCACCCCTGGCTCTAGACCAGAAGTGGTTTCACATCGCCGCGAGCTATACGGAGATTGGCGGGTCAACGCGTCGTGGATGGACCTGGTGAGTAACCCTCTCATGGGCGTGTGGTTCAGCACGAGGTGACAGGACCTCATGTGGCAAATTCCCAAGGCCGACCACATCCATCTATTCCGCCTAGTATCGGCGCCGGGTCAAGTTCTGTAACACAGTTGGAGAGCAGAGTAAGCTCATCTGGCCCTCGGGCCTCGCCTTGGGCGGGACGGGGTGCTTTATTTCCAACATTCGTGCAGCCCCGTTCCTGCTGCAGGGGGGCTCATAAGCTTGGGTTATCGTTATGATATTTGTGGGAGATGCGCCCACACGATTTACACACTAAAGATACATCCGCGGAGCCGCGGCACGTTGTACTTGTGAGACCTGGGATGTGCAGCGGTGGCGCTTCAGACAGAGCTGTATCCCTGGCATGCCGCCATCTGGAAAGGGAACTCCGCTCTGCTGGGCTCGCAGCAGCTCCGCAAGTTCTGCTGCGCCAGTTCCCGGTGGTGTGCAATTGGGCCACTACCTAGTCCTGAAGCTGTGTCCCGAGGAGGGGCTTGGGTGACCGAGGAGGCGGAACTCGGAGTACCTATGAGTCTGGTTGGCGGCGGGGGATTGAGGCGGTGGGAGGGGCGGACGTGAAGCACGATCCCTTCCTCCCTGCGCCGCTACGGCCTCAGAGGGGCGGCTGTACTCCCTGCCCTCCCCCCCTTCTCGGTGGGCAGCGCGCTGGAGATCGGATCGGGCAGTATACCTCGAGCTCTGCGGCCCTTGGAGGGGGGGGGGGGGGGGGCGAGGAGGAGGAGGAGGGGGAGGAGGAGGGGGATGAGGAGGAGGGGGAGGAAGAGAGGGAGGAGGAGGAGGAGGAGGAGGAGGAGGAGGAGAAGGAGGAGTAGAAGGAGGAGTGAGAAGGAGGAGGAGGAGGAGCCGGGTATCGTTCCACCGCTCCAGCAGCGAAGGTGAGATGGGCGCTCCATTCGAGCGGTCACACGGGGCTCTCCACCTCTGCCACCTCCGCAGGCCGGGCGGCACTTTTTTTCCTGAGCTCGGCGGCGGGAGTGCTTCCGCCGTCCCCCAGGGCGCCTGGGTCAGGGGCAATTGCCCGCGGGCGGGCCTGGGTTTCAAGCTTTGGCAGATCATTGGGCCCTCCTCGGGCCGACTCCGGCGATTTGGTGCCGCCTGCCACCTCCAGCTGCAAGTCAGAGTTTGACTCCCAGCTTGGCCTGTCATCCGTCCCGTAACATTCCAGAACGCACATTCGACTGAACCTACGGGGAAGAGTCGACCCCGCACGGTATGTCCCCCTGTGCGGACGGATTTCGCCCGACATCTGGTAGAGACCAATCACACTTCTGTTTTTGTTTGATTTCAGTAACAAGAGGGTGATGAGGAGGACAAGGAGGAGTGGAGCAGGAGGCAGACGAGGAGTGGAGGAGGAGCTGGAATAGTGGGGAGGAGGAGGAGGAGAGGAGGAATGTTAGAGGGAGGAGGGGGACAAGCTGGATGAGAGGAGCAAGAGGGGAAGGAGGAGGAGGACGACGAGAAGAATGGGGATGTGGCGGATGCGCCGGAGTAGGAGGAATGGGGCGAATGGGATTGGTAGGGATGGGATGAGGAGCAGGAGGAAGAGAGAGGACAATCACAGGTAGGAAGAGTACAGCAGCGGTAGCCGGATCTCCTCTCTCTCCCCTTCCGTCACATCCGCTCCCGTCTCATCATTTACTGCACATTTCCACCATCCCCTCTCCGCTCCTCTCTGCCCGTCGTCTCTCCCCTCCCCGCCAAGCTCGTCTCCTCCCTTCACCCCACCTCCATGCTTCCTTTCCTCCTCCCCTCGTTCCTCCCCGTCCCCCTCCCCCCTCCTCCCTCCCCCGTCCCCCTCCCCTCCCCTCCCTTCCCCTGCCTCCCCGTGCTCCGTCCTTCGCGGCTCTCCGCCTCCACTTCCCCACCCTCTCCTCCTCTGTAACACGACGGGGGCGTTTTTTGAGTTCAGCCGGGCACCTCCTTCTTCGCACAGGAGGAATCCCCAAGAACAGTCGAACAATCATCGGGACACGATCGACTTACTGTGATGTTTTTTTTTGCATGAAGCAATCCGCAGAGCATGGGACGTGCCCGACCCAGTATGAGAGTCCTGGGTCGGCTGCGCCACGCGTCCGCGGACAGAGAACAGAAATCAGCGCCGTGGGCAGGGACGGGCGGGAGGGACAGGTGGTGTCAGGTGTGGCGCGAGCTCACATGGCTCGTCCACCTCTCCCCCCCTCCCACCCCCCCCCCCTGACCCTCCCAACTCCCTCCTCCTCCTCTTCCTCCTCCTCCTCCCCTCCCCCTCCTCCTCCTCCTCCTCCTCCTCCTCCTCCTCCTCCTCCTCCTCCTCCTCCTCCTCCTCCTCCTCCTCCTCCTCCTCCTCCTCCTCCTCCTCCTCCTCCTCCTCCTCCTCCTCCCCCTCCTCCTCTTGCTCCAGACCCCGACGTCACGATTGCCTCCATGAAGTCGGCCCCCAGAGGTCTCGACCCGTTCCCCGAGACCGGCTCCTCGTCCCGAGTCGTTTTTGTTTACGGTCCCGCGGCCCGGTGAGGGCCACCAGGGGCCGCAAGTAGCGAGAAGCATTCGGCCGTGTTTTGTGTTCACGGCTCGCGAGGGGTCCTGGGGCCCCCATTGTCCCACCGCTGGGGCGGCCTGACAGGCCCCCAGTACACCATCCCCGTCCGTGACGCCCCCTCTCGCCTCACTCGGCAAGGGGGGGAGCTTGAAAGTCGAGGGTGACGTCACGGAAGGGGATGCTCTGCTAGGGGTCGGTGACAGGCCGCGCCCGGACCCCCCCTTGCACGGCTCATTTTGACTCCTTCGATCCGATTCGATTCGATTTCGATGGCTTCCGATTCCGAGTCGATTCGACTTCGGATTCCGATGTGGATTCCGATTTCTCCATGGAGGCCTGTCAGCCTGTCGTCTTCCGCCGGTTCGACACCTCCCGACTCGGCTGCCGATTTCCGCCGATGCGATTTAATCCCGATCGCCGATACGACTTGTCGATCCGATCCGGGGCTCTCCTGCCCCTGATCTCCCCGTCGGAGTCCGTGCCGCCCACCCCCGGCCTCGGAGGCGGAGCAGGCGAAGATGGCGTGCGCCGGGGAGATCCTGCGGACCCCCGCGCCCGCCCCCCGCGCGGCGCCTCGCCCCCCTTCCCCCGCTGCTGCTCCCCGGATCCCGGGGGAGGGAGATGTGCCCACCCCCTTCGGTCGTTGAAGGTAGGCATTTCTGGACTCCCAGATTCCACCCTACTTTCAGCGCCTTCCTACTTCAATGGTCGAGTGGCTTCACCTTTTCCGTACTCCTTAGGGGGCGGACGGAACCCAATCCACTTTCAACGCTTTCCTGCTTCATGTTCCTACCTGCTTCATGTTCCTACCTACTTCTTCCGACCGATGGGTACCGCTACCTTTGCCTCCTGGGAGGCCCTCGCCGCCACCGCCGGTTTCGCCTCGAAAGTCTGGTCAGAGCGCACCCCGGGGAAGGTCCGAGGAGTGTACAGCGGTATATCGGTGCCTTTGGTCCTCCCCGCGACCCCGCCCTTTGCTCCCCAGACCTCCGAGGGCATGATCCTGGCAGCCCGGCGGCTCGTCCTCGCGTTCGGCCTCCGGGCTCTGGCCCGGGGACCATCCGAAAGGGATCCGCGACGAACGGCCACGCCCGGGAGAGGGGGCCGCCTCCCGAGCCCCCGTCGGGTCGCGACAAGAAGCACCACGGGCGGTGGTCCGCGATGTTCGGCCCCTGGGGCCGTCGTCGCAGTCGTCGTGGCCGCTGTCGTCCCCGTCGTCGCTGTGCTCGTTGCCGTGGTCATGGTCGTGGTGGTGGTGGTGGTCGTCGTGGTCGTGTTCGCTGTGGCCGTCGTGGTTGTCGAGGTCGTCGTCCTGGTCGTCGTCGCCGTCGTTTTTGCTTGATGGTCGTCTTTGTGGCCGCGGTCGCTGCCCTCGTGGCCGTCGTCGCCGCCGTCTGCCGAGGACTATCGCGTCGTTCGCCTTCACCTCCTCCTATGCGGCTAGGCACGGCGCCGCTCCGCCCGGCCCGGATCGGGTACGACCCCGGTCACCGCGGTTTCGCTTTTGTGCGTGATCTGATTTTTTTGAGGGGGTGAGGAGGAGAAAAAGGAGGAGGAGGAGGAGGAGGAGGAGGAGGAGGAGGAGGAGGAGGAGGAGGATGGGGAGGGCAGGAGAAGAGGTGAGGCTGCGGATGGGGCGGAGGGAGCAGATGAGAGGAGGGAGGAGGAGGAGGAGGAGGAGGAGTGGAAGGAGGGAGCAGAGGAGGAGACGGGCGATTGGAGGAGGAGGAGGAGGAGGAGGAGGAGAAGGAGGAGGAGGAAGCAGAGGAGAGAAGGAGGGGGATGGGGAGGAGGAGGAGGGGCAGCATAGGGAGAAAGGTTGCGGAGATCTCTGGATGCATTCTGCCCTCCGCACCCAGGGCTTGTTGAGGCGGCACCGTCGCCGAACATCAGCTTGCGGCAGCGAGGCACGCGACAGTGCGGCGGGATAGCCGCCTCGAGAAATCTTGGCACTCGTGTCGGCAACCTTGCTTCCCCAGCCTCGGCCCTCCACCCCCCTGGCGCGCTTGCGGGGGGTGGAGGGGGCGCGCCGAGGCTGGTGCCTCTTCGTCAGTCAGGCTTGTTTCCATGGGAAATCGCGGATTCCCGCCGCCGAACGAGGCGGCATTTCGGGGAGGGCACCTCTCCCGATCTGTGGATTTGGCGACCGCGCGCCAAATGCATGAATCGCTGCGCGCCCCCGAGTCAGGATGTGGGCCTTTGCGGAGACGGGGCCCAAGCTCTCTCCTTGCCCGTTGACGTGGGCGGGCGGCACTTGCCACCCAGGCTTACGTAAGTCGGCCCTGTCCCTCTACAGGAGCAAGAGTGGAGAAGTATCAAAACATACTCTGGGGAAGATGTTTCGCTCATGTTTTGACCATGTTTGAGAATGCTTTTTCTGACTGTTTGTGCTTCCTCCTCCAAGAACATCCCCCTGGAGGACATGCCCGACCTGCACCCAGGCCTGCCGATGCCTCTGTGCTCTCCCAGCCTCGGCGCCCCCCCCCTCCCCGGCGCGCCCGCGGGGGGGGGGGCGCGGCGGGCATCTCGAGCGCGGTGTCGGACTGCGGCAACTCGCTGAACATGAAGGCGCAGTGCGCCCGGCCCTCGGGCGGCGGGCCCTGGGGCGCGCGGGCCCAGAGATCCTGGCGTTGCATTTGTTTCGAGCCGGGCGTTTTCGCTCCATCCCCTTCTCCTCCTCCTCCTCCTCCTCCTCCTCCTCCTCCTCCTCCTCCTCCTCCTCCTCCTCCTCCTCCTCCGCTCCTTCCTCTCTCTCTCCTCCTCCTCCTTCTCTCTCCTCCTCCTCCTCCCCGCCCTCTTCCTCCTCCTACTCCTCCTCGTCCTCCTCCTCCTCCTTCTCCTCCCCCTCCCCCTACTCCTCCTCCTCCCCCTCCCCTCTCCTCCTCCTCCTCCTCCTCCTCCTCCTCCTCCTCCCCTCCTCCTCCTCCTCCTCCTCCTCCTCCTCCTCCTCCTCCTCCTCCTCCTCCTCCTCCTCCCCTCCCCTTCCACCCCATTGCTCATCCCTCCCCTCTCCTCCCTCCCCCCCGTTCCCTCCGGGCCCCAGCCTGCTTGCGATGCCCTCTTCGGACTGGCCCTCCATACAGACAGTACTCGCTATAGCTCGCTCGCGCCCCCTCCACCCAATCCCGCCCAGCCCCACGTTCCACCCCTCTCCTCCTCCCCGCTCCCCCCTCCACGCGGGTGCTGCAGTCAGCATCAGCGTCGTGGCTTGGAGGAGTTGCGTTTGGCCTGCAAGCACGTACCCGCTTCTCTGACTAAGGTCTTGGCGAGAATACGTCGGCCGCATTTCGCGTGACCGATGGCCCATCTCTCAGTAAGGCCGAGAAGGGGGTTCGAGGCCATCGTTTCTATGCATCGGCTCGCTTCGCGACTGGCCTCATCTCATCTCGTCCCCTCCCCCCCTTCCTGACGATCGAACAACACACACATATCCATAGGAGTGTCGGAGGGAGGAGGACTGGCTATGGGTATGGGTGCGGGTTGTCGGACCCTGCGGGAGGCTCCCGGTCGAAGAGGGACTCCCGTCGGACAACACGCACCCATAGCGCCTTCCGCCCCACCTATGGGAATGAGTCAAGGGAGGACAAATCACCCTGACCGGACAATTGGTGTTCACCCCTGGGCGTTTGCTGAAACCCTTGCCCCGTTTGATTCCTTCCTCGGGCGCGTCTGCTGAACGGCCTCGCTTGTCGGGGTGGTTCTTATTGGGGGGGAGATTGTTCGCCTTCTGATGGGCGCGTGCTGTTCGTTCGTCACTTCCCCCCGTCTCGCCCCGCCAGCAGGCTCTTGGTTGCTGGCTGTCTGCGCTGCCCCCTGCTTCGCTGTTCTGTTCTGTCGGGGAGTTGGAGCTTGACGCCAACCCACGGATGCCATGCTTTTCAATCCGCGGCCCCCGCGCTCCAGACCGCTCCCCGCGGGTCCACCTATACATGCTGGGGCCCCCTGGAGGGCCCAGCAGAGAAGCGGCCCCCCCGCGGCGGCCGCAGCACGAGGGAAACCACCGGCTGCAGGCCGAAGAGCACTCGCCCCGCCGGAGGTGAGCAGAGGTCGGCGCCTCGCCCCCACCCCTGCAGGCCCCGCGCGAGGGGCGGCAGCGGTCGCGACGGCAGGCGTGGCGCTCTGCTGGGGCCTCTGGGGGCCCTGGCCGGGCCTCGGGCCCGTCAACAAAAACGACTCGGGGTGAGAGGCCGGTACCGGGGTCGAGGCCTTTGGGGGTCGGCGTTCCGAGGAAATCGTGACGCGGGGGGTTTGGGGCCCCATCCCTTCTTCCCGCTAATGACTTCCCCCGCCCCCTTTTCGGGGGCGGCCAAGCGGGGGGTGAAGACTAGGGGGGTGTGGACATCATGGCGGGGGGCGTGATATCCCCCCGGTTTCATGGCGCCACTTTTGGTTTTTATGCGTCCCTGGCCCCCCCTTGGGCCGCGCACATGCCGCCGGTCATGACTTGATCCCCCCGCTCTTGGACGCCCCCCTCCCGGCAGCCCCCGATGCTGGCACGCCTCGGCCCCATCGTGGGAACACCAGCTGAGCGACGGAAGAACATGGGACCGTAAGCTCCCCGCGTGAAATCGAACGTAGGCGTTTTCTTCCCCACGTGGTGTGCTACACTGGCGGCTCGCGTAAGCCGCGGCGTAAGGTCGTTGTGTCCTTCTCGCACGGGACCCGTTTCTTTTCGTCGCTCATCTGGGGCTTGCCACCTGCCAGCGCTTGCTGGGCTGGTTCCTGGGGTGGTCAGGACAGGTCCACCCCAAGCCCCTTGTAGACGCGCTGTCGCGCCGATGCTTGGGCTATTCAGCCACATCGAAGGGGGAGGAACAAGAAAATACCTCCTCCTGCCCCTGCTCCTCCTCATCCTCCTCCTCCTCCCCCCCTCCTCCTCCCCCTCCTCCGTCTCCTCCTCCTCCTTCTCCTCCTCCTCCTTCTCCTCCTCTCCTGCCCCTCCTCTTGCTCCTCCACCCCCTCCAGCGTGCTGCATCAGATTAGTCAGACTACTTCGTTTGGTTTTTGTTAAAATGTTTTTTTTCGGCGTCACGTGGTCGCCCACGCGTCCAGGGCTGGTCCTGTCAGCCAGCAGCAGCGAGAGCTTGTTGAGCCACCCTCGTTGCAGCCGCTGCCGTCCTCGAGCCTGTGGTAAAGAACTTCTCCACCCCCTTCCCCGCCTCCTCCTCCTCCTCGTCTGCCTCCTCCGCCTCATCCTTGAGCTCCTATCCTCGAACCTCATCTTCTCCTCCTCCTCCTCCTCCTCCTCCTCATCTTCCATCTCCTCCTCATCCTTTTCCTCCTCCCCTTCGCTCGCCGATCGATCCCGCTTCCGATGCTTTGGTTGCAAGAGCGGTTTCTGCTGCCGCCTGGCGCGATGTCGGCGCCTGCGGCGCCCCCCCGGAGCTCGGGGAACCGGGCGAGGCCAGGAGCGCCCACCGCCGTCCCGAGCGCGAGCGGGCGGGACGAACTCGGCTCGCACGCTCGTCTCATCCTTTTCTTCTCGTGTGTTCTTCGTATGCTTACCATGGCTCGTCGTACCACTTTCAGTCGTGCCCTTCGCATTATCGTTCGTGTTCGTATTAGTGTGAGCAACAATGGCATCATTAAACGCATGGTCGACATGCTTATTACTAGTAGTAGTAGTAGCGTTAGTATTGCCATTCGAAGTTTGAATATTTTGCTTTCGTTATCATCATTTGTAATAATTTGGTTTACCATTCGTGTCAGTATGTGTAGCAATGTGATTTGCATACAACATCGTATTCGTATGATTAACATTCGTACTGTTATAATTGCTGTTTTTAGTAGCAATGATATGTTTATTGTTCCCGACACTGTTTTCAATATGATGAATATTCGTGTGCTTCGTCTGCTTCTCCTTCCTCCTCCTCCTCCCCCTCCACCTCCTCCTCCTCCTCCTCATCCTCCTCATCCGCATCTTCCTTTGGCCTCCCTGGGCAGTCCCCTCTTCGCTCGGCGACCTTGGCCCCCCCCCCTCTTCCTCGAACCTCGACTCCCGGGCCTGCTCCTCGAACCCTGCTCCTCCCCGACCCTCGCCCTTCGCACCCCGATCCTCGAGCCCCGCTCCTCAGTCCTCGAACCCCGGCCCTCCCCCTCGGGCCTCGGGCCTCGAGCCTCGAGCTTCGAGCCTCGAGCCCGGCCCGCGCTGAGGCCGCGGACATCTCCATGGCGGGCCCCTCCTGCGGGGGAGCACGGCGGGGAGGCAGGAACGAGGAGGCAGGAGATGTTGCCCCATCCAGAGGGAAGGGAAGGAGGAGGAGGAGGAGGAGGAGGAGGAGGAGGAGGAGGAGGCGTAGGTGGCGGTAGCGATCGTACTGAAGGGGGGGGGGGACGTGGACCCCACCCCACATGCTGGTGGTCGCGCGCCAGGTATGGCGACCCCCGCGCATCCCCGCCCCGACTTGCCCACCCCCGCCCCACGCGTCACCGTTACCCGGGGCCCCGCCCTCTCAGCCCCCCTGGGCAACGACCGTTGCCAGAATTAATTCGAAATTTATCCGTAAGGGCTTCGCCCCCTGCCGCCGGCCCCCTCTCTCGGAGAATGGGCCATGGAAGAGCTAAGTCATGAGGCTTTGGCGCTGTCGTGCAGCAGTATCGGAACTTCATGCGAGGCCGATTCGCAATCGGCAAAACCAATTGATCACAAGAGGGGTTACCACACAGGGCGATTGGTAAGACGTGTATGGTTTACGAGCTTGGTTACCACACCTTGGGATTAAAGAGCCGAGGGAGTACTCGCAGTTTGGGTTACCACGCCTTGCGATGGATGTGCGTGAGGGGTGGCACCGAATTTCAGAAATGTGGCAATCCCCTGTGTTTTTGGACCCTGACCCCGCGGATGTGCGTGAGGGGTGGCACCGAATTTCAGAAATGTGGCAAATCCCCTGTGTTTTTGGACCCTGACCCCGCGGATCTGCGTGAGGGGTGGCACCGAATTTCAGAAATGTAGCAAATCCCCTGTGTTTTTGGACCCTGACCCCGCGGATCTGCGTGAGGGGTGGCACCGAATTTCAGAAATGTGGCAAATCCCCTGTGTTTTTGGACCCTGACCCCGCGGATCTGCGTGAGGGGTGGCACCGAATTTCAGAAATGTAGCACATCCCCTGTGTTTTTGGACCCTGACCCCGCGGATCTGCGTGAGGGGTGGCACCGAATTTCAGAAATGTAGCACATCCCTTGTGTTTTTGGACCCTGACCCCGCGGATCTGCGTGAGGGGTGGCACCGAATTTCAGAAATGTGGCAAATCCCTGTGTTTTTGGACCCTGACCCCGCGGATCTGCGTGAGGGGTGGCACCGAATTTCAGAAATGTGGCAAATCCCTTGTGTTTTTGGACCCTGACCCCGCGGATCTGCGTGAGGGGTGGCACAGAATTTCAGAAATGTGGCAAATCCCATGTGTTTTTGGACCCTGACCCCGCGGATCTGCGTGAGGGGTGGCACCGAATTTCAGAAATGTGGCAAATCCCCTGTGTTTTTGGACCCTGACCCCGCGGATCTGCGTGAGGGGTGTCGATGTCGAGCCCCCCCAGCAATTCTTTACGCTTCGCGTATCCCCACCAGCCCATCTCAAAACAGCAA